AGCAAAGCTTTAATTTAGAATGGAAGGACAGATAAAGTGCTTCTCAGATAAGATCAAATTCAAGGAGTTCATCATCACCAAGCCCTTATTATATGAAATGTTAAAGGGACTTACCTAAGAAAAAGAAGAAGATAAAAAAGATTGAACAGTGAACGGACAGCAAACTCACCGTTATTAAGAACCACACCTAAAACAAAAGCAAACTAAAAGGACAGCTGGATCAGGAGAGAAGCCACAGAAATGGAGATCACATGGAGGGTTAGCAACAGGGGAGTGGGAGGAGGAGAAGGGGGGGAGAAGGTACAGAAAATAAGTAGCATAGACAGTGGGGAGAAAATAGACAGGGGGAGGGCAAGAGTAGTGTGAGAAATGTAGAAGCTAAAAAACTTATGACACATGGACATGAACTAAAGGGGGTAATGAGGGGGGAGGGGTGTTCAGGGTGGAGGGGAATTAAGGGGGGAATGGAACAACTGTAATGACATAATCAACAAAATATATTTAAAAAAATGACTTACTGTCATCCTTTCCTCACTTCTGGCCTACTCTTCAACTTCGACACACAACAACAACTCAATCATATTATTAGTCTTAACAAATTCCAACAAGCCTTGCAGGCAGAAGTGGGGGACTAAATGTACGCTGTCCCGTAGAAGAACCAGTCTCACTATTCACCCTGGTGCTCTACTTCTCATTAAATACTGGCAAGAAGAAGGAACAAATAATCAATTAACTGAAAAATGGATAGGACCTTTCCAAGTCTTTTTAGCCTCTCCACCTGCTATTAAGGTATGAGAATATAACTCTTGAATTCATATTTCCAGTGTAAAGCTTTTTTTAATTACAGAGAACCCCTCCTTCTGAAAAAGAAGACAACACCCAATACTCCTGTGAACCTCTCAAATTTAAAGCTTCTCTTCAGAAAACAGATAAGGAACATGCTCTTCTTATTTATCCTATCTTCACTTTTTAGACAAACCTAGGGAGAAAGTACTATAACAATATGACCAAAAGGGGAGCCATTGAAAGACAACTCTCTAAGACTATGAGGGGCAATAACTGAGGGGGCAAATAGACAACTAAACAATGGCTGGGTACGCCACAGACATCCACAAGAAAAGAAATCTCTCTCTCCCCTTAGCCTATGCCGAGACTAGAATGGCAAATAACTCATCATTGGGTAGCCTCCCATCTTTTACTCTTAAAGAACGCTATATAGCCACACATTTCATACTAGTACAACCAACCGCCCCCTCTAAATTCAACCACTTGTTTTTATACAGCCTCTTCCAAGCATGAACCTTTTCATCCCAATGCTTCTATCTTGGTTTATTCCACACAGGCCATGCCAATGGCCTATGTCACTTTACTCACACTCTGGCAATTAACTTTAGATAATGGTTCCTATCTAACTCTTCCTTTTGCACTGACACTGAACCTTATGTAGGACACATCCACCACCACCTGTGCCCCTGAAGGTCGAGCTGTCTTATGTCAATATTCCTCCCAGATATGTAAGAGCTCTGTCTGCCCTATAGCCACCAGATATTTGGCAACTCAATGTCTAAGCCCCTATCTTATTTATGGACAATGAACCCTAGGCCCTATCATTCCAGATTAAATATGTACAATCATACAAAACACATGTTCAAACACAAAGAGGTTTATTAGACAGAATCCTCTCCTGGGGCAGAAAAAGATTTACCTCTTTCATCATTTGGGCAAGTTACATTGAACATGAATTCATTTTGTCCAACCTTACTGCCAAATTAGAAAAATTGTTTAACAAGATAGGAGGAGCTTTAAAGGAAATGCAAATATCTTTAGACTTGATAGAAAATGTTATTATATAATAGAATAGCCCTTGATTATCCCTTAGCCTCAGAAGGCAGTGTTTGTACAATCATTAACATCATCTATTGCACTTAGATAAACAACTCAGCTAAGGTTGGCACTCATGTACTGAATTCCTAACCATGCCTCTTGGTTAAAAACTCTCTGAGGAACCCAATTACTGACAGGACTGGTAAATAACTCCTTAGACCAAACATGGAGACAATGGTTATGGTCTCTCTTCTTGCCCATTTTAACTCTCCTTCTTATAGGGCTCTGTATTCTAATTTTTGGCCCAAGCATCCTACAGTATCTAAAAAGTTTCAGTAACTCCAGGATTCTGGCCACCCAGGAAAAAAAGCATGATCCCACATGATTTGTAACGACTTCCTACTTCGAACTAACCCACTGGACTAGAAAGGGAAGAAGCTTCTACTCACTAAGACACACCTAAGATCCTTCCTAGCAGGAAGTAACTGCAGAAGAAGAGACCACCACCCCTTAACCCTATAAAGATTGATGAGTACGAAATCTCTTTGGGGGAAATGAGACAGAAGAGGGAAAATTAATTGCTGCCAACCCATAAAGATATAGGAATTTTGTTAAGAAACACAAGATAAACAACTATCTTTTCTTGAACTTAGTCACAGGGCTTAAAGGAAAAAAAGCAAGACTACAGGCACACTGTGTATGTAATTTGAAGAGTATATGCCAAAACACAAGGACCGTTCTGCCCTTAATGCTAACTTGAACTCTGACAAACAAGACCAAGGTGCACCGGTGGGGAGAAGACAACAATGACCATTCCTCAGCACTCCATAGTCATGGAAACCTGCGCCAAAATGGAGGAGCCTACCCCCACCCCCTCACCCCCAATCGAGGGCCTGAACACTCACATGCAGGCGTGATTCTCTGGTTCTGATCCCCAGAGCTTCTACCCTTTGAAGGGCTGAAATGAACCTTACTTTCATTATTGGTACTCCTGATCTACGTTCTTTTATTTGGGGAGACAAGAACCCAAAGTGTTTCCTGTTTGGTTCAGTAACACTTAACATTAGATGCTTCACTAAGTACGCTCTCTCCAATTAGTGTAATTATTTAGACAACAAAATTCTGTAACCCAGGGTTAAGTCACATGACCTGAGGTTTCTTTTTAAGTTGGTTATAAAGATGTATAACCTTTGGTAAAATACTTCTGGATTGTGAACCGCAGTGTGTCATTTGTAAAACAGGAGTCACCTCTGCTATCCTGTGTCCTTCACAGGGTTTTTCTAATCAGCCAAAGAGACAAATTGTGAAATCATTATGACATATGTGAAATCATTATGAAAGTGGCCAGATTACTTCTCTGCAATTATTATTAAAGATTCTGAACATAAGGCTAAATTGACACATATCTGCTTCCTAAAGTATCTAGTGAAGTGTGTGTCCATAATTTTTCCTAAACAAATACCGCCTGAGTAACTGAATGACCAGCTTGATTAACTTTCAGGATGCTCTGGTTTTACATTCCCATCTCCAGAGAACTGCCCCTAATTCAACAGGACAGACATGACCTAGACTTGAGGATAACTGGTTCAACATGAAGATGCTTGTTCAAAGGAGTTCTAAGGAACTTTAGACAGTTCATGCTAAAAGTATTACTTTACTAGTGAAAAGAAATATGCCTTTGGCACTCTCTTTAACTACTAACCTTGTAGTCTTTGAAAAATGTTTTAGGCACAAGCAGTTAGTAATGTGCTTAACATACTTAAATTGGTAATAATTTTAATTGACTCATCCACAAAATTACCCAAAGCCTAAGACAACTTGCACAAGGTGAATGTGTAATAAATACTTAGTAAATTAAAGAAAGGTGTCTACTTGCAGAGTAGAGTAACCCAGATGGTTTTAAGTGAACTCAATACAATACAGTAGTTAAAATGAATCCACATTTTTTTATATCCACATTTTTTATATCCAACACTATTTATATCTCAAAGGCATGCTACAATATAAGCAAGTCACAAAGTGGTATACACAGTATATAATGGTATGAAAATATGAAAATATGCAAAAATAATATCTGATGTATGGATGCATGGTTTGCAGTAAAACTCTAAGAGCATGAGGGCTGCTGTGCCCTGTCCTGCCTCACACAACTCCAGGGGAAGCTGCACTCATGCCAAGTCCTAAAAACATGCCTTAGAACAAAATATTGCAGCTCAGAATCTTTGTGCCTAAGAGAGAAATTATCCATAAGAAACAAAGTCGAAGCTAATGGACATAGAAAAAAGGAATACAGGAAATTTAGTTATATTTATAATGTTTCCTTATTTAAAAATATATTTGAAGCCAATATTACACTTGGTCAGGTTTGACAAACTATGTGATGAATACACCAGCATTTCATTTCCTATCCTTAAAATATCTCTTCTTATATAGTTATGATACTATATAATGAAAAATAATTATAATTTCTTGGTTATAATAAGAAAGAGGTATTTGTAATCATAGCCTCATATTTTTGTGGTAAGGTTCTAAGAATCTATCACATTGTTAATAAATTCAGAGATAAACTATTTTGTGTTCTCAAATTAAAGAGAGAAAAGACTTATATGAGACCTTTTTTGATTTCTTATTTTTTATTGTATTTATTGGGGTGATATTGGTGTGCAAACCATACAGGTGTCAGGTGTAGAACTCAACAAACCATCATCTGCACACTATATCATGTGCCCATTGCCCCAAGCAAAGTCTCTCTATCTCCATGTTCAGCCCCCTTTGCCCACCTCCACCCACCCCACATCTCCCTTTCCCTCTGGCCATCACCACACTGTTGTCTGTGTCTATGTGTTATGTATATATGTTTTTTGGCTAATCCCTTTCACTTTCTTGCATCCAGTTCCCCCTCCCTTCTCAGACCTTTTCAAGTATAAAAAGGCTTTACATAATTTTACACTCAAGTCTTTTTGGAGAGAGGCTAAAGAAAAAAGAGAAATTTGTGGCTAGCTCCAAGTTAGTGGCTAGCTCCTAGTGAATAAAATGACCTTATTCACTTTGGGAGTACAGGTTCGGGAGACAATCAGCAAACTTCTAAATGTCAGATAATATCCTGTATCAATAAGATGATTCCATCTCTTTTATCAGCTACTAAAATGAAACTTAGCAATGTACAGTTTACATACCAAAATGTCCATCCCGGGGACATACTTGAGGGTTATTTTGTAGTCTTTTGGAAGATTTCCCACCTACAGAGACCAAATAAAAGGAAGAAAATCTGTAAGACAAGCCATACATATCAATTAATATGTTGTTTTACACAGCATTTTTCTATATTTACATATATAATGATTTTTTGTTCTTGATTTCCCTTTGTAATCAAAGCAATTTCCAAAAATAAAGTGATAATACAAATCTTTTGGACTCCAAATTCAGTTATGGAAGTTTTGGAAACATGATCTGAATTGCAATTTCCATCTGTGGCCTTGGAATTCCCTTCCTGTATTATTTTTCCCACTAGTTCCAACATATAATTAGCAATACATTTTTTGGTCATGGTTCTCAAAGTAAAATGTCAACATTACCAGGGAACCTATTTGAAATGTCAATTTTCAGGCATACCAGGCATACAGATTCTCACTCAACAACTCCCCAGATGACTCTGACGAGTGCTCTAGTTTGAGAAGTGCTGCTCTACTTCTGGTCAGGATGGCAGTGTAGGCAGACATGGCTCGCCTCTTCACACTACTGCACCAAAACTACAACTAAAATATAAAACACCCATCACTCAGAAGTGTAAGAAATCGAGTTGGATGGAACTCTGACAACTATGGAATTAAAGAAACCATCTCTTTCCAGACTGGTAGAAGGGGCACAGATGCAGAATGGGCTGGTTTCTCATCCACGTGTGGTAGATAAAAATTCAGGAGGGAGATCTCAAGTGTAGGAAATCCCAGCACCACACCAGACCTCACAGCCCAGAGTTCCAGGACCAGGAGGGTAAGTCCCCATAACTTCTGGCTGCAAAACCCAGCAGGGATTGAGTCAGTGGAAGAAACTTCTGGAGCCCCAAGTAGTCCCTCTTAAAGAATCCACACACAGACTTACTGACTCAGACTCACTCTTTCTGAGCTCCAGCACTGGGTTAGCAGCTTGAAAGGCACCAGTGGCACACAGGGAGAAATTGGCCTTTGCATGAAGGTGAGCAGAGGCCACTGTCCTTTTCTAAACTCTACTCTCACAGAGCTTGCAAGCTGCCATATCAAAGATTCCATCAACCTGGTAACACTGTTTGACCTGCCTTAGACATCCTCAGAAACTCTGTCAACTCTACTTATGGACCAAACTACTTTTCCATATGAATCACTGGTGTTGGTTCATGCTTTACAACTTCCTAAATCCTCTCAAAGAAGAAACAGGTGGCCCCAGTGAGCCCTAGGCCCAGCACTAGCAGCAGCCAGCCTAGATTCACAGCTTGGCTTTGCCTAGGAATCCCCAAGCCCAGCACAAGTAGCAGACATCTCAGTCTCCTCTATAGATCATACATGGTGACCTCAGGCAGAACACAGGCCAGGGTTGACCTTGGCCTACACCATCTGGGAAACCCCAGAGCTTGCACACCCAGTGGACAACTATAGACCAAGTTGGAGCATAACCACCCTGCCCTTACACCACTGATCCTCTACGGAAGGTGGAGGTTGGTAGTCAGTGGTCACAGCCAGTTTTTGCAGCTGACTGGCCTGGGTAAATCTATCTTATTTACCTGACGACAGCTACCAAGACTCAACTGCAATGGGAGGGTGTACTCAGCCCACATGAAGGGCACACCTCAAGTACTCAGCTTGAGTGATAGGGGAGGCTGTGCCACTGGACCCTACAGGACACCTACTACATTACACCACACTTCCAAGACACAGAATCAAAGCAGCTCTACCTAATACAGAAACAAACATAGGAAGGCTGCCAAAATGGGAATAAAAAACATGGCCCAAATGAAAGAACAGATCAAAACTCCAGGAAAAGAACTAAACAAAATGGATATAAGCAATCTATCAGATGCAGAGTTCAAAACACTGGTTATAAGGATGCTCATAGAACTCAGTGAGGATGTCAACAGCATAAAAAAAGATCTAGTCAGAAATGAAGGATACACTAATTAAAATAAAGAACAAGTTATAGGAAAACAACAGTAGAGTGAAAAAGAATCCAAAAAAAATAAAGATAGTGTAAGGAGCCTTTGGGACAACTTCAAGCATTTTAACATTCACATCATGGGGTACCCAGAGGAGAAGAAAATAAAATTGGAAATCTATTTGAAAAAATAATGGAAAGAAAACTTCCCTAATCTGGTGAAGGAAATAGACATGAAAGCCCAGTAAGCACAGAGAGTCCTAAACAATATGGATGCAAAGAGGCCCACTCCAAAACACATCATCATTAAAATGCCAAAAGTTAAAGATAAAGAGAGAATCTTAAAAGCAGCAAGAGAAAAGCAGGTAGTTACCTAAAGGGGAAGTCCCATAAGACTGTCAGCTGATTTCTCTAAAGAAACTTTGCTGGAAAGGACTGGCAAGAAATATTCAAAGTAATGATAAGCAGGGACCTACAGCCAAGATTGCTCTACCATGGGAACGTAAAGTACAATAACAGGAAATGGAGTAGCCAAAGAACTTATATGCATGACCACTTAGCATGAACAATGGTATTGGGATTGCCTGAAGGAGAGGGATTGTTGGGAGGAGGGAGGCAAAAGGAAAAATTGGGATAACTGTAATATCATACTCAATGAAATGTAATTTAAAAAAAGAGAAGTACTGTTCTACATTGTTCTTAGAAAAAAATGTCAGCAAAACTTCAAAAGAATGTTACTTATGTGATGAAGATGCTTTCTAACTTAAATATTTTAGAAAAATTCCATTCCATGATGTAACTTAATCCACTTACCTAGGACTGAACATTGGTGATGCCTCAAATATTACCTAGTTTCTTTTAAAGGTTTAAAAAATATATCTAATATATTTTCATCAGCCATTGTAGCACAAATTGAACAATCACCTGGTTGGGAACCAGGGAATTTGAAACAGATCTAAACTCTTTACTTTGATGTCTCCCATCTGTAAATCAGAGATAAAAATACCCATGTCATCAATAATCTTGAACTGAGCTAAAGGAATGTGTCAAACACAAAATAAACACTCAGTCTGTATGAAGAGGTATATTGGCAACTGACTTCCAAGTATACAGAGTTCTGGGTTCTCATATCCTTTCCTATACACATAGCACCAGCTCTTCCATCCCATTCTTCTAGCACTGTTAAAATTTCCACCTGAATAACATAGCTAAAAATTGATATAGCTCATTGGGTCTTAAAATAATATGCAATATAAAAAATAGATTTTGCACTGTTAGATCTTTAGTGGATCTACACTGCTTTTGCAGACTTACTTTCCCTCACCTTGTCTCTAAAAACTTTACTGTTTCCCACAGTAAGCTAGGATTTTGTACATGTTTGCTGCACTAGGTCATCTCTGACAAATCTTCCAATAACACAATCCAGGTTTCTTTTTGGCCTTGCAATTGTTCTGGAATCTGAGAACAATTTTGGTGAGAAAAGAATCCAGGCAAAAGCATGGGTATAGTAGACACTTGAACAACTCAGGGGTTAAGGGCATCAGCCCCCATTAGGTTGAAAATTCATATTTAACTACTAGTCAGCCCTCCAGATACACAGATTTCCAACTGTGGAATGAACATATGTAGAGGAAGGGGAGCCAAGGTAGTAAGTGAGTCCACTGTGCTTACTACCATTCTACTTCCAGTGGTACCAGGTCACACACCCATCTCAGCTTTGAGCCTAAAACCAAATATTTACAGTGTCAGGCACTGTGCTCATTAAGGACTTATGCTGCATGATCGCATCCAATCCTCAGACCTATTTGACATATTATCTGTATTTCACAAATGAACAACTGGAGGGTCAGAGAGATGAAGGAACTTGACTGAGGTCACACAGCTATTGTGTGTTAAGACTGCACTACAATGCAGGCCTCTGAAAGCAAAGCCTCCCTTTCCTCTTAGCTCCAGTACATATTTTCATCTACTTTCTGCAAATTTGTCCTGGGCATTTTTCACTCACAAGGCCCCCCCAATGTAGTAGATGCCTTGCTGCTTATAGAAAACGTGTCTGGGCTGCCATAGAAGGTGATGTATTTAATGTAAGAGTTACACTCTTGCTTTTTATACTTAATTTTCTTCCTCTCCCACCATGCATTCATACTTTGTTTGGTCTTTTGGATTTTTACCACCATCTTTAGAAAGAAAAATGACTTGGTTATGATATGTAAGCCCCGGTGGCAAAGATATAGCTGACGCCTTTGCAGATATAAAAGCCAAATCAGATTGAGCCGCAATATTTTTTCATTATGAATCAACAATGTAAATTAAAGTCATTCCAGATGGAGACACATGGCAATAGTGGCAACTATTCTGAACAATCTAGCCCTTCTTTTATGCAGAACTTACATAATCAAAAAACACAGAATTGATCAAATTAGTATTTAGAAAACTCAGAACCTGAATTTATACACCTAAAGAGCAGAGAAAAATGTAAGGGATTTTGTGGCCAATTCCATTTTATTAGTAACATATTAAAAATGGTTCAAAGAAGTCAGGGGAGCCTTACAAAATGTTATCTGCCCAACCCACATTGGAATCTCCACACCGTACCACTTGGAAGGTGTATAATAATAAAGTAATTTCTGCATTAAACTGATTTAATGATTGCTGATAGGACTGAAAAGTAACAGTACTTTTTAAAAATTTATTTATTTTATTTATTTTTTATTGTTGTTCAATTACGTTTGTCTGCATTTCCTCCCCACCACTCTCCCCAACCCCAGCCAAACCCACCTCCCTCCCTTGCTTCCACCCTCCCCCTTGGTTTAGTCCATGTGTCCTTTATAGTAGTTCCTGAAAACCCTTCTACCTACTGTCCCCTCCCCGCTCCCCTCTAGCTATTGTTAGATTGTTCTTAATTTCATTGTCTCTGGTTATTTTGTTTGCTTTTTTCTTTTGTTGATTATGTTCTAGTTAAAGGTGAGATCATATGATATTTGTACATATGGTATGGTATACAGAAAAGTGACAGTACTTTTGAAAAATGCTTTACAATTAATATGAAGTTTTCATATATATTCTTGATCACATCGCCATGAGACATATACCATTAAGCCTACTAGACAGAGGTAGA